TTCAAGTAATGTCTAAAGACCCCTACAACGCCTAGCAACCCGTTACGATAATCAAGCATTGACGCAAAACACAAAACAAAAGAAATAAATGGACGATTCTGGTTACATGTTCAATGAATCGATCATCATTCTCCATTTCTATCAGCCTGTCATTTTCCACCATCCTAATGCTGTGTTTGTGAGTGACCGCGCCTTATTCACAAAACAATAGCGTTCCTGCACGCTCTTCCTTTTCTTTTTAGTGCCAGACCCCTCACAGACCTCTCACACGGAAGCTTTGCTTAACGCTCGGAATCACACCAGCTTCGCTGATCGTGCGGCAGTTCATGAAAGCCCACTGACAGGCTAAGAGTTGAAGCTGGTAAATTGAGCGCAAATTATGTCGAACCACATAACTAATCTGGGTGTGCTGTGCTACAATCTTTCCAGAATAATCATTGAAGTACGGATTGACAATTTAACTCATTTTCATGTCATTTTGGAAAAACTTCACGATCTGTAAGGTTAGCTATGTAAATAAATAATCATTCCAAATGCAATTTCAGGGCATAAGGATGTACAACATATGTACACCTCAAATGAATACCAAGAAGGCGGAAAGAAATTCCCAGCTGACTTTTTCAAGGTTAGAAAGGAGCTCCCTGTTCCGTTTGTCTCTTAGAGCGTCTCCCTTCTGACGAAGAACGAAGATTATTAAAATGATTTATTGCAGTGATTAGGTCTTGTTCGGTGTTCGTAATACTAAGTTTCAATTAGGTTCGATTGTAGCACAGTATTTCGTACCTATTACGGAGAGCTTCGCTTTCTGAACGTGCCTTGTAAAGAAAGCTTTGCCTATCGACCATCGTCGCGGACAAGGTTTCAACAGATGCGTGACGCGTAATACGATATGAAGAATCATTGAATCAACAAGGTCGCGTCGCACTACAATGGAGCGGTTAATCAAACTGTATTTACAGTCAGATTTAACTTCCCTGTTCCCTTTCATGAATTAAAACAACTGATTTTGCAATTTGGAGCCATAGATGCTTTCTAGCTAAACAACAATTTTTTTTCTGTCGAAATGTGTACCCAATTTGTTCCTTTCGAGTGCAATATGACTTCACTAGGTCATTTTAACCACTACGATAAAGGACATTCCAAATAAACAGAGTAAATGATCTACAA